CTCTAATTAATTGAGCTAACCGGGAGGTTAGAACTTAGTACTAATTCAATTTGTTTTCATGCGCGGGATCAATGCGGGTAATCGCGCTCGGGCAAGATGGGCTCACCTTCCCCGCTCGGGTGGCTTACCAGAACGGTAGGTACCTGGTGAAATCCTTCATACATGCATCAATACAGACGAACATATGGGAATAAATGGTCATTTGCATTCATTAATATACATTAAGGATTACACCAAGTACTTACCACCAGAACACAGCGTTCGCCCATAGGCGCCGCCAGCGAATATAACATATCGCGGGCTCAAGTCCTACATATTTTCCATTTTATTTTACCATGGTAAAAATATTTATGTACGCACGACCGTGCATTTTTTAACTGTTCTTTGATCGAAGTAAACACAATAAACCCACGAAAGTCATTTATATCTTATTTGATTTGACTGCCTTTTGCTGCTTTTTACGACGCTACCTGATTTGACTATCTTTCGCTGCTTATTGCGACTCCATCGCCGACATTGTCCAAAACTTGCGAACTTTGTAAGTCCGCTTCGCGAATTTTTTTATTGCGCAAGATCAAAGCGGACAAGCTTGAACGGGCCATATGGGCTCATATATGGCCTTACCCTTATGACCGTGACAGCAAAATTTCGGAATTGAAGATTGCCCTGACCGCTGAGTTATTGTTGATTTTTGTTGTTTTATTTTTAACTCTTCTACTCAAGTTCCTCACTCGCCATACTTTTCGTTCCGAATCTTGCACTGCGTCCATTAACTTTCAACTAAAGTCAAAAGCAAGAAATTGGAAAGTTCTAAGTCGCCATTTTCAATATTTCTGTATCAAAATGGAGAACACCCTATTTACTTCCTATAAATAAGATTTGCAATACTTACCACAGCGATTCTGGTTAAGGTTGTTAGTTAGCTCCTGGAAATATGTCAGGGCTTCATCTTTCATCTTCACTTCCTCCATTGAATCGGTCATCAGCCTTAGTTTGCCCTTAGTTGCCCGAGCTCCTATTCCCACGGCTATCACATGGACACCTGAATTTCGCAAGGGCTGAGAGGCACCCATCAAGCCATTAGCGTCGTTGGATTGTTCACCATCAGTTAGTACCACTGCAATCTTATATGCGTCGTCTCTTCCCTCTTCAAACACCTCTTTTGTTTTTAACAAGGCCAAGTCGATCCTTGTTCGGCTACCGATGCTGTTCACACTTTGTACGATATCTTGAAATTCTTTGACGCCATAGTTACGACTAAATCGAGCCTTAACTCGAACTGTTTCAGCGAACAAAACCAGGGCTACTCGAGAATCATCTGGTCCTAGTTTTAGACCTTTCACCATATCCTTTACAAGGTCCTTTGCGCCTTTCAACGCTTGACCAATAGTATCTGAAGAGTCTAAAACAAACGCCAGATCCATTGGGCATCCTGTATTGAGTAAACAAAACCACTTAGTTAGGATATGAACTGGATTTCGCCAGGTAATTATTCCCAATTTTCTACATCTTTCGAAGTTTCTCTTTTGTGGTATCATATTCTCCAACGAGGTCCTTAAAAATTAAAAACGAGTTAAGTACAAGTCTCCAAATTTGTTTTTAATTTTTATGGTGCATCAATTTTATGGTGCATCGACTTGGCCTTGTTAAAAACAAAAGAGGTGTTTGAAGAGGGAAGAGACGACGCATATAAGATTGCAGTGGTACTAACTGATGGTGAACAATCCAACGACGCTAATGGCTTGATGGGTGCCTCTCAGCCCTTGCGAAATTCAGGTGTCCATGTGATAGCCGTGGGAATAGGAGCTCGGGCAACTAAGGGCAAACTAAGGCTGATGACCGATTCAATGGAGGAAGTGAAGATGAAAATTTTTATGTTACATCCTTTTGAGGGAAAGTATGAAAAGATTATTTTCTCCTCTACGATGAACTATCACGATGGGAACAAGATAAATCTGGGATTGATTTGAAGCACGTATGGACATCAGCACCAGCCCCACGCTGTGTCAAGAGATACACAAGATCAAAAGCCTTACTTTTTAGATTTAAAATTGGCTGTTAGAACACAGAAGAACAAAATATTTTGTTATTGAACAAAGCTTTGACTTACGAGGGCACTCTTCTTCGTTGCACGCAAAAGTCTGCACAGCAGGCCCAATGCAAGCCTTTCCACAGTTGGAAGGTGGAGGATTGGTGCAGGTTCTCGTCCGAGTCAAGGTTCCTCCCCCACATGTTGCACTGCACTCAGACTCCGACCAGTCTGTGTAACGACCATCCACAACTGCAAATTGACCATGGTAAGGTACTAAGTATCATCCGATTATTGACCTCGTGGAAACTTACCAGAAAAGCATAACTGCTTTTTTCAATGACATGGAGATGGTTATGAAAAGACCTTTAAAAATGCTCATGTTGTGCATTTCTTAGAAAAAACGTGCGATCTTTCTAGAGGGTTCAAGCAGTCATAACACAGCTTTATAATCGGAAAATATGGAAGGACACAAAATCGAGTCTGCGCTTCCCAGGCACTAGTTGGTTGATGCTACTTGCCAAGCTATGAAGACACACGCGGGGGCATTGCGAGCGACACAAATTCTAGTGGGTTCTTTGACCTGCAAATGAATTTTAAGAGGAAATG